AAAAACTGTAACTCAATCTCTATTCGGGGAGTCAGATTAGGGTACTGGGCCCCCTCTCCTTGTATTGTCACTTTGCAATAAATAATTTTCTCTCCTCTTAACACTCAGAGTGTAAACTGTTTTGGCCTGACTGCACACCAGGCAGGGACCCATGTTTGGTCCCACTTCAGTTCCATATAAGATAAATCTGAATAAAGGATTCTATACCTTTAAAAAGGTTTAAAAATCAGGAGACTTCCAGTAAGATGGAAGAATAAGCAGAAAAGCGACACAGACCCTCTTCAACAAAGAAAAGAAAAACCAATTGACAGAGATACAGAAGGTAATCCTGGAACTCTGAGCTTTGAAAGGAACTACACAGAAGTGGATTAGGCACCAAACAGTGGAAAAACCTGAACAAAAACACTGAGTACAGAGACAGTCAGAGCTGTGGACTGTCAGCTACTCTGACGAGACCAACAACCTGAATATTTCCAAGTGGTGTTGGGACCTGAGAATTGACATAAAGTCACCAAGGGTTGTAGGGACAACTGTTCTCGTGGCCTATGACTAGGAAGGGATACAGCAAGGAGGGAGACAACCTGAGCTGTGGACTTTCTGCTGTCTGGAGGGTGCAGCCATTTTGATTGTTCACACATGGCAAACATTTTGAATATTAAAGTGACCGAGGGTGCAGCCATTTTGAAAGTTTACAAGTGGTGGCCATTTTGGATATTTAAAGTGACCAAGGGTGCAGCTATTTTGAATGTTTACAAGTGGCAACCATTTTAGATTTTAAAGTCATACCATTCCCATTCGGATTCCAGGGACTTAAGAACAGGCTCTGTTTGCCAGGGTCAGCAAGGACATATGAGAGGCTGACAAAGGAAAGAAGACAGGTGGTGAGTGTATAATTGCTGTCAACTAGTGAATAGAGGAGCACAGCACAGAACCTTGCCTGTATAGATAACATACAAAGAAAACAAAAATTGTGGGCAAATAACTCCAACATATAATTACCAATTAAATATAAACACAAAAACATCACAATGCCTCAGAGATAACAGAGCATCACAGTCCACACAAAGAAGCAAGAGAAACAAGGGAACAGGATACAGACCCACAACACATCCCTGAGGAAGATGCAACATTGGAACTCCCTGATAAGGAATTCAAAATAATTATATTTAGATATTTTCAAAGGATTGAGATACAGACCAAGGAAAACACAGACAAAACCCTAGAAGAATTTTGGAAGAAAATACAAGAACAAAATAACAAAATCAATGAAAAATTAGAAATGATTCTAAATCTACAGATAGAAATCCAGAAGATTAATACTAAATTGTCAGAAATACATTGAAAGGGCAAAGGAGTAGAAATGATGCAATGGAAGACAGAATTAATGAGATTGAAGACAAATACCTGAATACTTCTTTGGAAAGGGATCAATCAGAAAAAAGATCAAAACTAAATGAAGAAAGCATAAGGTTCTTGTGGGATATCATCAAAAAGAATAACCTACATGTCATTGGAATTCCAGAACAGGAAGAGAAAAATGAAACCACTGAGAAAATTGTCCAAGATTTGTTGGCGGAGAACTTCCCTGATATGATGAAAGATGAGTATATATCCATTCAAGAAGTCCAATGGACCCCAAACAGGATAGACCCCAAAAGAAAAACACCAAGACATATCATCATCAAACTCACCAAAACCAAAGACAAAGAATGAATCATGAGAGCAGTACGGGAAAAATGAAAAATTACCTACAAGGGGCAACCAATAAGACTAAGCTCAGATTTCTTGACAGAAACCATGCAGGCAAGAAGACAGTGGGATGGTATATATATAAAACCCCGAAAAAGAAAAAGTT